ACATCTGGAGGGCCAGAGGTTCCCCACACCTGCTTTAAAGTGTTGCTTTCAGCTTCACAACAGAAGTACTCTCAATATATTTAATTAACAATTTTATTTATTAATAAAGGAATATATACCATTAAATATATCAAAGCAGGTTACAAAATCAGAAAGATAAAAGTCAAAGGATGTAACCATAAACACTAAAGACAATCCAAAAGTAAAAAAGTTAAAGGTGCACCCATTTACCATTGTGGGAGGTGTGCCCGCATAGGCCTGGTGGAATGAAACAGCAGGCGTTTAAAAGTTGGCACAGAAAGCACCCTCTTAATCTCTATTGGCAAGGAGTTCCACAGGTCTGGGCTGATGACTCTAAAGGCTCGGTTTCTCGTTGCTGTCAATGGAGCCTCCACAATTCAGGGAATATAAATGCATGCCCCAGAAATTTAAGAAATGAGCTCTCAGGTGCATGCTTGGGTGAAAAGTGGGTCCTGCGTCTCAAAAGGCTAAACTTTAAGGGACAGTGGCTACCAGATTCCAAAGAACCAGTTCTGTCCGGGGGGAAGGAGGGAAGGCAGAAACCTCAACAGGATCCTGAGAATACTTCTCTGGACAGCTATGGCAAGGACTGCAATAAAACAGTGATATATGAACAGTGCCGGATTTACATATAAGGCTAAGCAAGCTATAGCTTAGGGCCCCACTCTCTTGCGGGGGGCCCCAAAAATAAAGGAAAAAAGAACTGGATGTGCATTTCCAAAAGATAAGATAAAAACAAATAAAATAAAACCTACATACAGCAACAGTGTTTTGTGTTGTGTATGGATCTATTAGCATCTATTCAACAGAAAAAACAACGATAATTTACATATCAACTAAACAAGCTATAGCTTAGGGCCCCAATATCTTGGGGGCCTCAGAAAAAATTTAAAGGAAAAAAGAACTGGATGTACATTTCCAAAATATAAGATAAAAAACAAATAAAATAAAACCTACATACAGCAACAGTGTTTTGTGTTGTGTATGGATCTATTAGCATCTATTCAACACAAAAAAACAGTGATAATTTGTTGTTGACAAAAGACAGCTGGACATATAAAGGGCCCCATTACCTCCAGTAGCTTAGGGTCTCATCAAACCTAAATCTGGCCCTGGATATGAAAGGCAAGAGCAACGAGTGATTTCTTAGCAGCAAGCTAAAGCCAAGTGCTGCTGATCTTCAGAAACCTTTTCACAGACTGTGCTCAGAAGAATAATCTCTATTACAAATACACACCATGTATTTTTAAAAATGATTATAGGAATATAACTGATAATAGAAATAGATATGAAAAAATATATCCTCCAGTTTTCTTTATTTTTCCTTCTACTCCTTCTGCTCCTCCTCCTGCTCCTCCTCCTGTTCCTCACCTGAGGGAAAAGCCAAAGAACCACGGGTTAAAATTGGTGCCTGGTACGTGCAACCATATGCTGTATTTTCATTAAGCTGTTTTTTATTCTTTTTGGCAAGAAAATGGGCACACAAGGAAGACAGCAAACCTTTGTGCCCTTCAGAGGCACATGCGCAGTCTGCTACTGGCCTCTGGCCTCCTGGGGGGAGGGATGCCACCCCTTCCACGCAGCGAAGGCGACCCTGGCATGGCTACCAGCTGCCCACAAAGGCGCACTGAACTGGGCTCCAGACTGTGGTGGGACTCCCCTAAGCCCCAGCAAACATGGCCAGTGCTCATCATGGATGATGGGACTTGAAACCCAACATCATTGGGAGGACCATGTCCCTGGAATTTGTGAAGACAGGATTCTCAAAAATACCTCTTGCTTGCTCCTCCTGGAATCTTGCGCCATGCTCCAAGATGTCAGCTTCAAACACCTGAATGGCTCTGTTAAGTGCCTGATTATTGCTATATGTATTTTGCGCATCCCAGCTAAGTCCCTCGACCCCCATCTTCTGAGCCAGATTTTCCTGGAGAGGACAGAGATGGGTAGACATTTACTCCAGGTGTTTACAGAAGACTCAGAGACACTGGTTAAAGAATTTGTGAGTGACAGAAACAAACTAAGAACTAACAAACTAATGAAATTGAGATTTATGTGGGATGTAGTAGTTTTGTTTCTTATGTGGCAAAGTTTTAAAATACGCTCTCGGAGTATGCCTCTTCCCCTTTTCTTTCTTGCACTGAACGTGGTTCTGTGAGGCTGCATGGGGAAGGTGATTGCAGCAAACTAAATAGTCCAGGGTGGCGACATTCTGTGGTGCGGTTCTCGTAACTCGGATCTGTGTTTGTATTTATGAACTCTGAAAATGAGATTTATGCAGGGTGTAATAGTTTGTTTTCTTACGTGGAAAAGTTTTAAAATACACTGATGATGTTGACTGGCACTTGGACCTTTGGTTAAGTTTGATAATTAATTTGCTTGAAAACACAATGAATTTAAAGGAGGAATAGAGTGACTGGCCTGGCAGGGGAGAGTGGCAGGTAAGGTGGCAGCGATGGCGGCCGCATAGGTGCAGCAGCAGCAGCAGCAGCCAGGAATCCAAGTCCTGACAGGATATGGTGCAGGACGTAGCACAGCTGGACGAAAGGCGACAGGCCGCACAGGAATACCTGGGGTGGGAGAGGAGGCGACATTGTATTAGGGTTGTGATTTTCTGAAGAAAAGGAGAAACAGAACAAGTATTCACATTGCTTTCTCAGTATAGGAACCTTTTGCAGTTTTTAATCTATTCAGGATGTCTACAACATGCATCCCAGAAGCAGAAGAGGAAATCAGTATATAGCTCAGAGTGGGTGGCAGAATATCCATGGGTGACAAACACAAACCCAACTGCACATTTGACATCAAGCTGCTGCTGCTGCTGCTGCTGCTTCTTCTTCTTCTTCTTCTTCTTCTTCTTCTTCTTCTTCTTCTTCTTCTTCTTCTTCTTCTTCTTCTTCTTCTTCTTCTTCTTCTTCTTTTCTTCTTTTTTGTCTCAGCCTGTGTACCAGGCGGGCATGGTAAACAACCACCCTGGACACAGAAATAACTTGCACCTCCAAGTCTAAAATGACTCCCAGGCTGCGCACCTGGTCTTTCAGGGGCACCGTTACCCCCTTCAGGACCAGGGAGTCCTCCACACCAGCCCGCCCCATCCTCCAAAATCAGTACTTCTGTTTTGTCAGAATTTAACTTCAATCTGTTAGCTGCCATCCATCCTCCAACCGTCTCCAGGCACTCACACAGGACCTTCACCGCCTTCACTGGTTCCAATTTGAAAGATAGGTAGAGCTGGGTATCATCCGCATACTGATGAACACCCAGCCCAAACCCCCTGATGATCCCTTCCAGTGGCTTTATATAGATGTTAAAAAGCATGGGGGAGAGGAGGGAACCCTGAGGCACCCCATAAGTGGGAGCCCAGGGGTCCGAACACTCATCCCCCACCACCACTTTCTGATCACAGCAGGAGGAAGGAGAAGACCTACTGCATAATGGTGCCCCCAGCTCACAATCCCCCTAAGCAGTCCAGAAGGTACCATGGTCAGTGATATCAAAAGCCGCTGAGAGATCCAGCAGATCTAGGAAACAGTTTTCACTTCTGTCCCTAGCGCACCAAAGACCAGCGCAACCAAGGCAATTTCTGTCCCATGATGGGACCTGAATCCTGATTGGAAGGGATCCAAATGGTCCTCCAGGCATGCCTGGAGTTGTTTTGGGAATGCTTGTAGTTATTGCTGTGAAATCCTATGCAGGTTGCCTCTAAGCAAATAGTATTACAAGAGCCAGCTCAGCTATGCATGTTGTATGCAATGTGTTTAACTTGCCCTGCTGTGCCAAATCCTAACCCCTTTATGCCTCCCCTGTCTTGTGGCAAAATCCCAAGCCCATTCCCTGCTATATTTGAAGGCAGACCACTGCTGAATGCAGCCAGGGAGTGACAGAATGTAGTCGTGGAAGGTGAAGGAGGGGGGTGGAGTGACTATTGGCTCAATACAGAGGGACTTACTGACTGGCCCTTTCCACAGAAACAAAGATGTTAATTTGCTTAATTCTTGTTTGAAGTTACAGAGAGTTTCCAATTGATTGGGGTGAACACCATGCAGCTGATATTTCATGCTGATTTGTGTCAAAACAATTAGCAGTACAAAGCCCAGCAAAGCACGTAATATGTAATATTTTTCTTACACTTCTAAACCATAATGCTTTTCTTGATGTATTTTCATTGAATAAAGCACCGCGTACCACATGTGTCTTTGTAACGGATTGCTCTGAAGTCATTTCAGCACCAGGTAAAAAAATACCCCCATCTTCTCTGCCCCCCTCCCTGCCCCACCTGTCTTGCATTTTACCCAACCAAAGGTGACAATCCAAGCCACCACCAAACACCCAACTATGGATCTCTTGGTCTGAGTTGAATACAAAACCAGATGCTTTCTTCTTATTGCCAGCTGCAAAAACCACAAACACCAATTTAGGAAAGGCATCAAGTTGAGTCCTAAGGCTGCAATGTATCTCCATTCAGACCACAGCCTGATGAAAGTGTCATGGTCAACACCCCACACACAGTGAAAAGTTCCTCATTTTCACCTTCATACTAGCATGCAGTGTAACAGCTGTTGAGGAAAATGCCAAAAGCTCTCACAGCCTGCTACACAAACCGTAAGAGTCTACCCAGCTCTCTTCCTCCCCTATCCCAACATATAACCAGCTCTTGAGTTTATAAATGAGTTCCCTCTTTCCCCAACCCATTCCATATGCATCCTGACCCAACTATCAGGATTTAGCATCTGGCCAACCTAACTGCAGCCTTGCAGGAGAAGAACACAATGCTAGTCAAATATTTGTAGTTCAGAGGATGCACACCTAAACAGCATAAACACCAATTAGAAATGAGCATAAGCAGACCAGTCACACACAGTGCACATTCTCCCACCCCAAACCAAGTCAGCTCACCGCCAAAATCTGGAGTCCATGTTCTTGTAGCTCTTTCGGCAAATCTCATTACAGGTTGGAAAGCATTCTGCCTGTTTCCCTGAGGAGCCTGTTGTCGGCCAGGAGGCACGTTCTATGAGACACATGACCCAAAGTATTTTATTCACACACTTTAAAGTGGAAGGATTTCAGGGGGAGATGCATGTGGGATGGGGGTTCCTTGTGGCTTGAAGACCAAAGGATCACTACTCAGACCTGCATTATTCATAGAAGCATAGAATTGTAGAGTTGGAAGGGAACACCAGGGTCATGTAGTTGAACCCCCAACAATGCAGGAATCCTTTTGCCCAACGTGGGCATCAAACCCACAACTCTGAGGGTCTCATGCTCTACTGACTGAGCTATCCAATGACTCCTTCAAGTAAGGGGGGGAAATGGGCTGTTGTGTTAAGGGCTAATGTTGCACGTCCAGGTAGAAGAGCTCATTGGCATTATTTTAGGCTCTATGTCAATTGACTTTGTGACATGATAGGGGGGAAGTAATTTAATTTTTTTAGAGTATTTACCTGCCACCAATTATGTGGGAATCTCAAGACACTTTAAAACCATGTCAGAAAATATGCAATCATTGAAATACAGCAAAATAAACAGGCCTACAGGGAAAAGATCCTTAGCATCTTATATAATATTATATAATAGCCCACACTGGCTGGCAGCAGCACCCCCCCAAATCCATGATGGGAAAACATGTTTCCCACCCAGAATTGCACTCATGTTTCTAGAAGGAGTAGCAGAGGCTGCCCCCACCCACTACTCTCTTCTCCCAGGCATCGTAAGACATGAACAGCTCACTTTCTCTACCTGTGTGCCACAAGCCTAAATTGCAAGACAGTTCCCACTTTGGTACAACGGGGAACAAACATTCAGGGGACGAGTTCTGAGGGTCCCCAGCAAAGTCATTTCCCTAGGCCCACATGCCACCCTGCTGCTGGCTGCCCACCCACAGGAAAAAGGCACTATTCTCCCCACAAACCGAACATAGCAATAGCACAATAGCGTGTGGGTTCTGCCAACTTTTCCCTACCTGTTCATCCGGACGTCGCTGGGCAGGAGCCTGCCTTGGAGGCTGCCTTGGAGGCTGCCTTGGAGCCTGCGCTGGAGCCTGCCTTGGAGGCTGCGCTGGAGCCTGCCTTGGAGCCTGCGCTGGAGCCTGCCTTGGAGCCTGCGCTGGAGCCTGCCTTGAAGCCTGCGCTGGAGCCTGCCTTGGAGGCTGCGCTGGAGCCTGCCTTGGAGCCTGCGCTGGAGCCTGCCTTGGAGGCTGCGCTGGAGCCTGCGCTGGAGCCCCGGTCGACGGGTCGTGGGGCCCGCGCGATTCAAACACAGGCTCTGGACGGCGGCAGGGCACCAAGCTTTCCTGGCACAAGAGAAAAGAGGTGAGAATAGGAGATCGGATCCTGCAGTTCTCCCAAGCAATCTGGGCAGGAGAAGGTTCTTCGGGCTTCTCGGGCGGATTTTTCTTTTCCATTCCGAGGATGCTCCTGCAAGTCCTCTCTGTAGCAGCCTCCGCTTCGGGACACGCGCGCTGTCCTGGATTAGTCCGAGCCGCCGGCAGAGATTCCAACCTGGGATGTGCTGCTCTCCCCAATTAACTGAATTGTCGGGGAAAGGCTGGAACTCGCGTGCTGCGGTCGGCCAATAAGAGAAGGAAGTGGGCAGTTCTGCCCCCCTCCCCTCAAGGCGTTGAATGTGCTTGGGACAGTTGCCCTCCTCCAATGCCAAGTATGAAAACAAAGTGCGATGGGATGCCTGAGAGCAAGTCAAGGCCACTAGCATGTCTCAATGCCCTTTCTCATCCAAAACAGAAGTTTCTCTCCCCCACACACACTCTCTGTGTGTTGTGTTGGGTGATGGCATCCAGCGACATCCAGCGGCCTTGTCAGAATTCCTCTAAAGTTACCTTTTGACTACAAGCTCCTAAGACCCAGTGACAAGACTTAATGCATGGTTTATGATACACCAGTATTTCCAAACTTCACTCGTTCAGTCTTATTATTTCAGGCAATAAAACTGCTTTCTTCACTGTCAACTCTGAAATGGTTGGCAAAGGTAAAGAGCCAGAGTCCTGCAGCTCCGCTGTGTTCGACCCTTCTTTAATGCTGTCCCGCTCGCATTCTCAGCTTCACAGGGCTACCTTGGGCCAGACCTTTATCAAGATGGGCCTCCTTCACAGAGGGTGGTTGTGAAGATACACTCAGGAAAACACCCGAGCGTTTGTTTCGCGATTTGGAGAATCCTGGCATGCTGCAGGCAGTGGGATGCCCACTGACACGGGGAGGGAGACCAGGCTGGAAGGAGCGAAGAGGGGGCATGAAGTCCGGGGTCTGGAAAAGGAGGTGGGGAGCGATCCCCCTCCCGCCGCTCCAGGATGGGAAGTGCGTCCCAGGGGAAGCGGGATTCAGGCGGAGGAGGACGTCAGGTTGGGTGGGGGTTGCCAGGAGCAGCACGATGACTCTCCAACCCCCGGCTTCCACTCTCCAGGCAGGCGCCCAACGTGGCCAGCTGGCAAGGGCTCTTTCTTACTCCAGCCTTGGCGTGCAGATCCCGGGTTCAGGCCCAGATCTCTGGAGCGGAAAGGCTCTTGGGCGTGAATATGAAAGGCAGCATCTGTCAGAATAGGGCATACTGAGCCAGTACAGAGGAACGTGACCATTGGTTCGCTTCCTATGCCAGCTGCCTTTTAGGACACATCAGAGGTGGCAGAGAGAGGCAGGAGAGAGACTCCGGCCTCTGCAGTATGGGCTGTGAAACATAAAGCAGTCAAATACAACATTCCTAGAGTTGACATGTTTAGACGCGAAGAGGGATGTTTGTCCAGCCAGTAGATGAACTTCCTGTTTCCTCCTAGGCTGGAACAAACTTCCTCTACATGTGACCAGAGGTGGGCGTGACTTTAGCTGTGCAGGTAACAAAAGCACAGGAGTGGCCACCACATCTCTCTCTTCTTCATTTTGCTTTCATCAAAGCATCAAAGGAACTATCTCCTTATGGGGTAGATTCCAAGTGTATATGTTTTGTAACAAGTCTGCCTTCAGGGATCCTTTTGTGAACTGAATGAAACTATGAGTAAACTATTTTATACTTTTATACAAGACTGTGTTGTGTTTATCTTTTTAGGAGGGAATAAAAGGGGAATTACCAGGAAACTTATTTTAGAGGCTTAAACAATCCTGGCAAAAGTGTTATCCGCTGTGTAAGTTTAAAAAGGGTACTGTTACTCTGCTAAATTGTAGAACTTGTTAACACAAGTCGGGAAGGATATAATTAAACAATATATCCTCTCCTGCCTCCCTGAACATTCCCACATACAGAAGCCCTTACCTCCCTGTCCCCACCCCAACTCTTAGGACCAGAAGCAAGAGACAGCTTTACTGAGCATGTGCTCCTTCCCAGGGAGATGAAACTCTGCTCAACTGTTCACTGAATAGCTCCTGAAGCAGCCATACTCCAGGCTCTTATTGTCACAGCCCTGCAGGATCAGACCAAGGCCCATCTAGTCCAGCTCTCAGCAGCCCAGCAGATGTCCATGAGAAGCCCCAAGCAGACTCCAAATGCAGCCCCACTCTTCCCACTTGGGATGCCCGCAACTGGTATGCAGAGGTAGACTGCCTCTGCGGCTGGAGGTGCAACATGGTCTAACCCTCCATGAATTTGACTAATCCTGTCTTAAAGCCATCCCCGTCAGTGCCTCTGGAAGGAGGAAATTTCAGTGTCACTAGGCACTGTGTGTTTGGCCTGAATCTTCCAGCATTCAGCTTTCTTAAGGAGATCCAGGTTCTGATATTACGAGGGAGAAAGTATTGCTATTCACCTTTTCCACATCATGCATATTTCTATTATGTCCCCACTTTCCCCCCTCTCGCAAAGCCCCAAAGCCTCATATGTTCTACCCCTTCCTAAAAGGGGAATCATCAAAACCACCCATGTCTTGGAGTAGATGACCCTTGGGGTCCCTTCCAACTCTACAATTCTGTGAATCTATTATTCTAAGCTGCTACAGCAGGGAGGGGAAGTCATGACTCCTCAGATGGTTGGTACATCTACATCTGGAGGGGGTCACAGTAAAGGCCCTTTCCAAAGCCCCAACTTCCCCATCCTTTTTTTGAAACACCTGGTTGCTTTTCTTGTGCAGGCATATTTTGTCTGTGATATTCTAACAGTGTTCCTTATAATTTAGCAAAACAAAGATCTAGGCATTTTGTTTTGGCCAATATAGCCAGCATTTGCAATCTTGGCACTGGACATTCTGCTCCCTGAAGCATAAACTGACACCCCCCCAGCACTAAACTCCCCCCTCCATTGTTAGAGCAACAATAAGGGTCACACACTTCAACACCCATGCATTCATATATACCAGGAGTGGAAAACTCCAGATGCTGCTGAACTACAACTCTTATCAACCCCAGAAAGCATGGCCAATGGCCAGGGATGAAGGGAGTTGTAGTTCAATCTAGCCCCACCAGCCCCGCACCAGCTCACTCAGCTCTGCAGCACCCAGAGACCAGCAGCTTCCTCCACAGAGGTAGCGCCAGCTTCCCTTTGCAGAGATGGGGGGGGGGACCTCCCTTGGCACCAGCGAGCAAGGGGACGTGGGGCGGGGCAGAACTCCCGACAGGCTGCAACAAAGGGGCAATATCTCGGCAAACTATCCGAGTGCCAGCCACAGCTCCCTTGAGCACTGAGCACAGAGGATTGGTAGGAAGTGGGCATCTTACTAAAGACTGTGTGGAAGGTGCCCTTGCAACCAACCATTGCCCAAATCTGCTTCTCACATGAATGTTGAGAGATTTCGGGGTTGTTATATTTATTATTACTTCTTTTTTTGAAATTTTAAGCGCCTAAGAATTTTGTGCCCAGGAAAATTGCCCCGTGACCCTACCCACACAATGCCACTGTATTTTCCCGAAACCACAACCAGGACAGATTTCTGTCTGCTAAGGGGCTTGCAGTTGCTTCTCCCGATTCTCTTCTATGTGCAAAGATGCCTTAGTTCAAAGGTTCCTCACCTGTGATGTTGTGGGTGATGGTGACGTTGGAAAAATGATCCCCTTTGAGCCACCCCCCACTGGCAGCCTCTTATAGGCCATGCTGCCACAATGAAAACACAACCCCGGGAACTCAGGTATGATAGCTACATTGCCAGCCCCCAGCAAGGATTGACCTCAGGCTGCGGAAGACTATCTAGGAGCCCCTAAGCTGGCTCTGATATACCCACACAGCATAACAGCATAACCCTGTGTCAGTGGGGATAAACACTATCCCCATAACTTAGGCTTGTCCAGTTCATGACCTCCCATGTTCTGTCAGCCAAAGAGTGGCATCAAACTGCAGGCTGTTGTAAAATTGATCTGAAATATGTTATATGCCCTATTCTACTCCCAGGGTACATAAGTAGCCTCACAATAAGATAAATTCCACCGAACGCTTTAAACATTCTTCAGAAGCTTTTGTCATAGAACACAAGTGCGGGCCTTTTGAGGGAAAGTTTCCATAAAAGGAGGAGAGCTTTCTAAAACATATGGGGCATGTAACCTCTACATGGTCAAAAAACAGAGGAAAGGTTAGATAGGAAAGAGTTGCAGCCCTTGAAGTCAGTCCTGAATATTTTCAGGAGAATGGCTGCTGTAGGTCGAGAGGCTTTTATCTCAGTCTCAAGACACAACAAAATCAGGAAGAAGCACAAAAATAATCCAGTACAGGAATAACATAAGTCACAAGCAGATAGACAGACCTTCACCACTTCAGATTCAACTTCAGTTGAGTTCATTTTAATTTAATATAACTTAATTCATCCTATATCATTTATACCCCACTTGATTGTCAAAAAAATTAAAGCAAGTTTACAAAAACACCTCATGTCATGTAATGTCACTTCATGTTTAATGAAGCAGTGAAATACAGGAACACATTTAAAAACATTGCAATGACAATTAAAATCAGCAGTAAGCAAAAGGCTTTCCACACCCTGCAGCCTTCCACATGTCTTCCAAAGGCCCCTAAACCAGAATGCTTTACGGAGGTGTGGGGAAGAGTACAGTGAAGGCAGCTGCCTGGGTCCCCAGGCAGGGAGTTCCAAAGTGTTAGTGCTGTTGCACTAAAATATAGATTTCTTGCAAGTGTGAAATGAGTCTTACGTGGCAGCTAGAACAGTCCCAGTTGTGCAGGTTGAGTAGGCACACAGGGCGTAAGGCAATCCCTCAAGTGTAGAAGATGCCAAGCCACTATACAAGGGGCTTGAAATACCTGCAGCGCCACAGTTGCATCTGCTCCACAGGTG